CTTGGCGCCCTCGCCTCCGTTGGCTTCGCGCAACAAGCCACGCTCTGCAAGGACTACGAATACTTCTCCAGCAACGGCTACCAGCTTAACAACAACATCTGGGGCCGCAGCTTCGCCACCTCGGGCTCGCAGTGCACCTACGTCGACAGCGTGTCAGCCACTGGCGCCAAATGGCACACCAAATGGACATGGGCCGGCGGAAAGGACAACGTCAAGTCCTACGTCTACTCCGGACGTCAGATCACCAAGAAGAAGGTGAACCAATACACCAACCTGGCGACGGAGGCCTACTGGGTCTACGACACCACCAACCAGCGCAGCAACGTCGCATACGACCTGTTCACTGCTGCGGACATCAACCACGACACGTCCAGCGGTGACTACGAGCTCATGGTCTGGCTCGCCAGATACGACGTCTGGCCCATCGGTACCTCGCAGGGTATGGTCACTGTTGCTGGCCGATCCTGGGAACTCTTCTACGGGCCCAACGGCGCCATGAAGGTCTACAGCTTCGTGCCCCCTGTTGGACAGCCCATCTACAACTTCAAGGCCGACCTCAAGGAGTTCTTCACTTACCTCACCAACAACAAGGGCTACCCTGCTTCCAGCCAGAACCTCATTAGTAAGTTTCTCAGTGCTACTACCATGGCAATGCGTATGCTAACCTCCATCGTAGCTTACCAATTCGGTACCGAGGCCTTCACTGGTGGACCTGCTACGTTCACCGTGAACCAGTGGTCCGCTAACGCTTGGTGAATTGTCGTTCGCAACGATCATAGTAGTGGTGCGAGACACGCGCGATCGTCTGGAAGCCTGGAGCAGTTGCGTCTATTTGGGACTGGAATTGCAACCTTTCTGTACATACTTACACACTTTGGTTCTCAAAGCGTATATATGAATGAACATTTACATTTGCAACGAAATTTTAACATCGAAAAGCGAAGATCATGATATGGATCAGGTTAAGAGGCTGCTGACTTCTACAAGAACGAAGCCAGGCCTATGACACCAGCCATAACGGCCCAACCCAGACTTCCCATCGTAGTCTTGAGCGCATTGCCTGTGAACGGCTGCGGCGCACTGCCATTGCCGTTCATGCCTTGCCCTGCAACAGCGATCGTGCTTGCACTCTTCTCCGTTAACTGGCCATCGCCACCCCTCAATTGCCCTCCTCCACTGATACTCGATGGATCTCCTGAAGAGCCCTGCACACACCCCATCGTGCCGTTGCCACGAAACATGCGGTCAGCAACACCCTTCCACACCTCCGTTACATCGGAGATCATCTTGCCCGTAAACCACATCCTGCAATCTGCGGCTTCATACATAAACTCTAACGGCGTACCGCTCGCATCGTTCTGTCTCAGGTTGTCTTTGAGATTGACGCCGCCGGCGATCTGTCCGCCATTGTATGCAGATCGCTTGAAGAGTTGGGTTGCGAAAGCGGTTTTGCCAAGATCCGTTTCGTCCCAGGCTTTTCGTTGCTCGGGTGAGCCCAGAAAATAGACGGACTGCATACGGACTTGGATGTCGTCCCAGGCGAAAACTTGGGCGCCTTTTGTGCCACCTACACCCTGCATTGGACCCGGCTGAGGCCGTCCACCAACGGCGATCGTGCGTACTGCGCCTTGGTTCTTGAGTAGTTCGGAGATGATCGCGCAGGTTGAGGAGCACATGCCGTCGTGTAGCATGACCATGTCTTGGGCTTGGAAGGGCTGCGGTGTGCTGGTTTCGTTGGCATTGTCGTTGTAGCCAATTACTGAAAAGCCTCTGTATGTTGTGCTGACGCTGTCCGAAAAGTTGTACCGCAGCGTCGTGGTGAAAGAATCGTTATTGATCTGCTCGGGACCAAAGAGTTGGTCCCACCCACTCATGGCCTTGTTGTTGACATCGAGGATATGCTGATAGTTGAATCCGCTTGTGAGGGCAAAGATATCGGCTTGTGTGGTGGCCCGACCAAACACCTCCATGAAGGCGGTTTGGTTCGATTGGACAAAGGTTTTGTTGGCGAGGAAGTCTTGGGTTATCTTTCCAGCAGAGTTCAAAGCATCATTCGCGCGGAAGCGCGTGCCTCCGAATGGCTCCGCGACCGCCTGTGGGTATACTTGCTTGAAAGTATCGTAACCCAGAATCGCATTGCCTCCACCGTTGCCTCGTAAATCGAAGATCATCTTCGTTTTACCCGCTTTCTGCGACATCCTTATGAAATCTCGCATCGTGTTCTGAAAGCTTTGAGCATCAGGAGATTCGTAAGAGGGGATACTGAGAATGGCGACATTCTATATTGGTTAGATAAATAAAAGTGGAAGTGGGTGTGTGGCCTACCTCGTATCCTGAGCCATTGAGATAATATCCTCCAACAGCGAGATTGCGGTTTATCAGCTCAGCTTTAGGGTATCCAATATGTGAGGGAGTCGGTGTGGCAACGGGAGGTGCAGTTCTTGTGGAATTGCTTGTCGGAGAAGGAGCAGGAGCAGGAGCAGCCCGCTTCGGCCCAGTGCAAAACTTCTGGAAGAAAGCTTTGCCGCTATCAACACCAGTAAAGTTCCCAACTACAACAGCGACATTCATCTGGGACCAGGTAGTGCCATTTGCAAACTCAAGGGTTGTGTTGGGGCCTTGATATTGGCCACTTCTGAAGCTTCCAAGAAAGGTAGTGCCGGATGCGAGCAGAGCCTGCGAAGGAAAGAGGGCGTTCCATCGCGTGTCAGCGTCGTGAAAATCGGAACTAGCAGATACATTTGCGAGATAGTCCTGAGCGCCCATGCCGTTGATCACCTTGATAGACGATGGTTTGAAGGAAGAATCGGTGTTGGCTTTGATGACATCCCTGTAAGTGAATATCTCTGGGAGCGCTGTACCGTCTGAAGAGACAGAAACCAGTTCTGACCCAGGAGGTCTCTGAAACTGCATCGCTGAAGCAAGGATGTCAGGCTGATAGGCGAAGTGGTTGTCGTACGCCTTCGTGAACGTGTTGAGCATCTTCAACTGGAATTCGTACTCGTTTTTGAAGGTACCGTCCGCTACCTGCTTTTGCATAGTGTCCAGCTCGCCCATGATGTCGAGGGGCTCTTCGGTGTAGCCTTTTGGTGGGTTCTTAAGGTATGCAATGTTCGATTGCCACTTGACCATGAGCTTGAGGTCGTCGATCAATTTGACATTGCCTTCCATGTCGAGAGGTACGGACTGCAGACATTGTACTCCTAATTCCGCGGGCACGATGGGTCGGGCTCCCGAGGGTAATGCTGCGATGGCCATGCTGACAACCGCGCAAGGTTCCTGTCCAGAAGAAGCTGATGCTGAGCTAGAAGAACTCGAGGTTTCTGTAGAGCTTGCAGTAACGGTACTGTTTTCAGCTGCTGCCATCATCAAGTCCACGTCTGCCTGTGTCATGACCTCGTTCATGTCGAGATCTGGGTACTCCGGAACTCCATACATCCATGGGTGTGGATTCGCAGTAGACAGGCCGCAAAGAGCGCCTAGGAGCGCAATAGAGGAGCGCATCCTGATACGAGAAAGATCGTCGAGTGTGAATGGTGAATTGTAGGCGCCTGGTTCTACGCTTCACAGGAAACTCCGAAGCTTAGCCGTTGATAAAATTAGGTATTATAAAGAGCGATCCAGCGCTGGTAGTAAAGTCAAGCTGGGAACAAGAAACGAAAACAGGAAGAACGAGGCCTCCACGGCGGGACCGACGAAAGGAGGATGGAGCTCGCGTATCGCAGCCATGTCCAGATGCCCATATATGAGGCACATGGTGCATTTGATATCGTACGGCAATGCTAAGGAAATTTGGCCTAGGGCGTAGCAGCATTGCCGCGTTATCGAAACGTCTCGGTCTTACCAAGCAGTATGGTCGGGGAAGTCGAAACGCTGCCTTTTGCCATGCCTGACAAAATTACAGCACCAGCATACCAGAGCGGAGTTCTGGAACCACAGTGAACTTGAACTCTCAATGACAGAGCACTACGTTAATGTCTATGGCCATTGTTCTCGCATGGAAGATGCACGACTTGGTTATGCAGAGTATGCGGCGATGGTGGTTGAGGCGGACGGGGTACGCGAAACTAACACGAAACATCAACGTGCTGATGTGCTAAGCCTGACTCAGCCTAGCCTGAGCATACAATGTCTCGAATGTTGTAATGCGAACTCCGTTGCGAACACCCTGAATTAGTCACATATACCTCGGGCAGACATCCTTGTGGCCATTTAGATGGCAATGGCGGTCGAGCCATGTTTCCAGGTATTGCGTCTTGTGTGTGACTATGCTGCGCCACCAGATAGAATATAGATCTGAGGCCCTAGGCTGCCTCCGCATCGTCCTGATACTGGACTCCCCGATCCCATGCTTCAACTTTCGTGTACGGGCTTCTGAGCCAATCATTCAACTCATGGAGAAACAGTCTGCTGTTCTCTCGGCCTAAGTGTTCCGCCAACAGGTTCTCCGCGTGCCCATTACTGGCCTTTATGTCAACCATTTTCAAGATGGAAACGATGTACGATAACAGAAACTCAGCATTGCTGCTCGTCGTTGCCGCAACAGAGGACGAGCCCGCGGGATCAGCGTGTAGGAAGGTGAAGACGCGGAGTTCGCGACGAATCCAAGTACGTGCTTTTGACTGCATCTCAGAAGAGTTTGCGATCACTTGGGGAGATATGTCGCGATATCCCGAGTAGCGATTGCTGCCGATGTGTAGCGAGTATAGCTGCCTTCTGTACACCTCTCTGCGTCTGCGCAGCGCAGCATCCTCGATGGGTGGTGAATATGGGCGACGCGGACCACGGGGTCTACTAGGGAGCCCGTAGGGCGCGAAGAGGGAGCCCGGCCGGTCAGTTCGGCTATGGTGTGCGCTTGAGTCGGCAGGTGGTTGGCTGCGAGGAACAGCGTAGCTTTTGTAGTCGGTCGGAGAGCGCCAGTCGTATTGCACGGCGATGACTCGTGCTTTACCTGCATTTATCATTAGAGACGCTCTATAGTATGGAAGAGGACCACTTACATAGCGGGCAAGTCGACCGCTGCTTCAACCAGGACACGAGGCATACAAAGTCAAATGTGTAGTGGTTGCATGGGGACGTGATGGCCCTCTCTGTGACCGAAGAGAGACATATTACGCACGTATCGTGTGAGTCGCCTTGGTTCGAGCCGGCCGTGCTTTTTGGCATGCGCGTTCTGGTGTCGTGGGGGTTGAGGAATATCAAGTGGCTTGGGTGATGAGCTCATGGCGTCCGAAGTAAGCTTGGGCCAACCAAAAGTGTCGCGACTCGACGCAAACGCAGCCTGTCCGCTCAACATTCACCCTTCCACTTGCTGCACGTGTCCAAAGGTGTGCAATCCATCGCGGACCTCCTAGCGCCCACTGCTGCGTAGTTTTCGCGCTGGATGCTCCTCGCCGCTACCCGACGCATCACATCGCACTCTGTCCGACGCTCCGTACCAGACATGCTAGCAACCTCGACCAGGCCGGCCGTCGCAGGGCCAAACGGAAAGGCGACATACCACACCGTCACTGCGCTGAAACGGTGGTCATGCGACGACAAAGAGCTGCCTGCCGTATCCGAGGTCAAGGCAATTCACATCTACGACTTCGACAACACCTGTAAGTCCATCGCGACTTCCTCTACATCCGAGGCTGACTTTTCTAGTATTCGCAAGCCCTCTACCCAACAAGCAGCTATGGAACAGCGCGACGATCGGCCAGCTGGGCTCGCCTGACATATTTCTCAACGGCGGCTGGTGGCACGACTCGGGCATTCTAGCAGCAACAGGCGAAGGCATTGAGAAGGAGGAACCGCGCGCATGGCAAGGCTGGTGGAACGAACAAATCGTCGAGCTCGTCGAATCTTCCATGGCCCAGAAGGATGCGCTTAGTGTGCTTCTGACTGGCAGAGGAGAATCCGACTTTGGCGACCTCGTCAAGCGCATGGTTCGCAGCAAGCGATTAGACTTCGACATGGTCTGTCTGAAGCCCGCGATAGGTCCTGCAGGCCAGAAGTTCAGGAACACCATGGACTTCAAGCAAGAGCTGCTCAAGGACATTGTCTACACATACAAGGACGCGGAGAAGCTGAACATCTACGAGGACCGCGTAAAGCATACGAAGGCCTTCCGCGACTTCTTCTTCCAGTTCAACGAGGACTTGCTCAGGGCGCAAAACCAGGCGTCGCGCCGACCCATTACTACTGAAGTCATACAGGTCCCAGAGAATGCCACACAACTCGATCCTGTCGCCGAAATCGCCGAAATACAGAAGCTGATCAACGCGCACAACATACAAGTCAAGTCGGGCAGCGCCCCGCCTGGCACGCCGCCTTATCAGATCAAGAAGACCGTCTTCTACACCGGCTACATGATTCCCTCCGACGTAACCGAGAAGTTGACCTCCCTCGTCTCCTTACCTCAGGGCGCTCCGAGAGACGACATTCGATATCTCGCGAACAGCATACTCATCACACCGAAACCATGCCCGAAGAGCATACTGGACAAGGTCGGCGGTATAGGTGCCAGGGTCAGGTGGAAGGTGACAGCCATCTCCTGCTTTGAGAACAAGCTCTGGGCTGCCAGAGTGGAAGCCGTACCCAAGGGAACAAAGTTCTACAGTGAGAACCCTGTGCCGACGGTAGTCCTGGCTATTCGCAAGAATGGCCGACCAGCAGATGCTGCGCGTATCGTGAACTGGCATCCCGTACCTCAGGATCAGGCATTCGAGTTTGACAGTGTTGTAGGCGAGAAGCAGATGTTGCGTATCGAGGAAGAGACAGCGAACGAGAGCGAGTATGAGAGTTACTTCCCTAACAAATCTCATCGCAAGGAGGACCAGAATGGTCGCAACGACAATCACCGGCCAAACCACGGCCGAGGAGGCAGGGACAGAGATGACCGGCAAGGCGGTTACCGTGGTGGCAACCGAGATCGCGGTCGTGGTAACAACAGAAACAACAACTATGGATCAAGAGGAGGTGCTCGCGGCGGCTACCGTGGAGATCGTGGTGGAGGAGGTGGTGGTGGTGGCGGCGGCGGAGGTGGCGGTCGGGGACGTGGCCGTGGTGGAGGTGGACAGTATCGAAGTTTGGATGATGTCGACAACGGCTATGGGAACCGAAGCCATGACAACAACCCAGATGCTTTCTACTGAACCCAGGCTGTCGGACATCCGTCTCACGGGTCTGTTGAAGCTGTCAGGCTCACCAACCGAACAGAGCATCAAGAACCAACTCGACCGGTTTACATTTCGCGGGCGTTGCGGGTGGCGCCATCTGACTCTTTGTTGTTAAGCTGAACTTCACACCATTTTGATCCGCTACTGTAGTATGTTTTGTGAATAAGATACCCGATTTCTTCGCAAACAGATGTGGCCCGCACAATCTTCCTTCGCCATGGATGTTGCTTTTTTAGTAATGTCTCCTTCTCGCTCTTTTTCCATTTCTTCGAGAGTCTTCATACTCTCTTTTTGAGGTTTTGCAAATGAGGAGGTGTCCCGGGAAGCGGGTCCTGCGCAACCGGGATTGGGTCGAAGCATCGCATAAAAGGCCAACGCTCACACCGAGAGTGTTGTCTCGAATCAGGATATGCTCAACAATGCACAAGTATACTGTTTCTGTCTCCAAACTGATGCGCTCAACGATTTTATTTGGTATTCATCACTTACGGTGCAGAACATATCGACTGGAAGGGTTGTATATCGATTTCTATACGGTCTCTCGATTGGTCGGCACTCGGAACAATGATAAAGGCGATCAACTCGAGAAAGGATCATGTTTCTACAAACATCCTATATCGCCATGGCACGAGCTTCCGAAATGGCCGAGGGCAAGGCTGGCAATCGGCGATGACATTTCATCAACACCTACCCCCAGGAACATTGGGCCAGTCAGCCCACCGCCAACACAACACGCCAGACTTTTTTCAACTGCCTCCCAGCACACATCAAGCCTAGTCCTTCCTGTAACCACCTTCGGTCCGGTTTGAACGGTGACCTGGGTGGGACGCAACGCCCGAAGGAGGTGAATCGGCGATCGCATGCTGGGCTCCTAGGGTAAATCTTGATTGCGGGTTACTACAACATTCCTCAGCTGCACGAGCTTAGTAAGGCGGGGTGATTGCAGAGTTTGAGGTGTATAAGTGCGTGAAGGAACGATGTGCTCGGGGTCGTTTGGACCCTGATCTCCCCTGCATTGTTGTTGGTGTGGTGTCTATCGTGGACTTCCTGTTTGGGCAATACCGGTAACTTATTAGAGCTATCTGGCCAACAGAGACGAGGGCAGTAAGTAGTGTTCGCTCGTTCACTTTGAAAGGCCATGCCAGCCGATCGTTGATCTACTCATCAAACGTCACTGACGGTCAAGCATTCATAGCACCATCAGACGAGTCAGACACGAAGATTACCCATCAGTCCTATCGAGCGCATCAACACCGTCGAACGAAAGGGCACATGGTCTCATCTAGACAGCTCACAGTCTGACCCGTCATACATCCAAGTGCATCAGCACTTTTGGTCAGCTCGACGCTGCCACACAACTCTTTCATTCTACAAAATGCCAGTTCAGAACCACTACAACACCATTCAAGCCTACCAACCACGACATAATAGAGCCGATTGACGCCGGCTTCATCTGGCCCTCTCCAGACTTCGCCCCCTCCCCGCACCCACACGATGTGTACAAAAGTCATTCTCAAGCACAGTACATGCCAACACGAGTTCTGGGTCAAACGCAACTGCACACGTCATCCGGAGTGCACCTTCTTCACACAAGTCTATCGGGAAAGAGGTGGTGAGTGTTGGGAGTGCGATCCGGGGCAGGCACCACCTGAGGCGCTTTTCCCGCGCGAAGTGAGCTGGCGCAGAGTCAAGAGTAAGGTCAGAGAAGGGGGACCTGTGAGTGTTTGAAGTGTGGTGTTGCCACGCCCAGAATCTTACTGTGATCAATGTCAATCCAATGCAAGCCCTCATGCATGAAGTATGAACGTCCTGTCACATATATCATGATCACGCGTCCCAATATATTGAAGAAGAAAGTACCCTATATCTTCGACTACAAATTTACTCTCCCACAGATCTCCTCATACCTATCCACCACACAACCTACACACCAGCCCAAGCCCACAAGTACGTCGACCAAACCTACCACCGACACCCTCTCGAACCAATCAACATACGCACACATAACACCAGCCAGCAACATGTGCAAGTTCTTCATCACCACTTACGCATGTGGGCACCATAGCCTCATAGTCCATCCAGATGCGGCTTGTGATCCGAGCGAGAGGGGCGGGACCTGCATTAACGCAGAGTTTCACGACATACACAAGGAAGAGGGATGCAATACGCATCTTTGCCCAGGGTGGCAGCCGAGTGACGAGGATGAGGATGAGAACGAGGGAGGCGATACGCATCTTTGCAATGGGCAGCAGCCAAGCACTGAAGACGAGGTATAGATGCTTGGGGCATGATAGAGCGTATAAGAGTGCAGAGTGGATCGGGTCGGAGCATCCCAACGTCGGACATAGTGCGGACTGCTGTGGTGTCAATCGAACTTTATGTATTCGCTCATATATCGGAGGAAAACATCATGTCAAGGATGTGCAGAAAGTCGATGTAAAGTGCATCAAGGAAACATCACACACTATCACAAGCATCTGGTCTGACGAAGATTTTTTCCCCAATCCGCCCATATACCGTTTGTATTCATTGCGTTTCGTTTAATTCTAATCTATGATAGTCGTACAAAGCAAAACATGACGCCATACCAATGCCGCGCCGTAAAAATGCCAGACCGCTAAAAAGGAGCAAACGATAGACAGGAATAACAATGACGCAATAACGTGAGAGAACATTACGCGGATGCAAAAGCATAAGGAGCAAAAGCAATCAAGCAACGCGATGCGATGCAGGGGTACAGTACCCCAGAGAGAGGAATAAGAAAGACAAATTAGTCATCACTGTCCCTTGCACGACCAGCCTGACTACCCTCAAAGTTTCTCATCTTGGTGGCATGGTTGTGGTTGATCATGCTGCGAATAGGGTTCTTGCGTGCAGCACTGACCATGCTGGGTGTGGGGCCGCCTCTGGAGGCGTGTACAGCGCCAGTACCATACTGGACTTCGTCGAAGAGGTTGTCGTACTGGCCTTGGGTCAGGCTATCCTTTCTTGATGACTTGGAGGGCT